GAAGAAACACCTCCTCTCCGTGACTGCATCTCTACTGGTAGTATTCTACTACCAACATTAGTGCATGTGATCTCAGCCATTATTGTAGGTGGACGGATTAAGCAGAATGTTGATGATGATATATAGTATGGATGTCGATAGATGCTACTGACGGTAATGGTTGTGATGATAATGATTTTGATTTGAAGAATATGCTACGCCATGCAGAAATTGTGGTGCTACTGGCATTGGCTAGATGTTTAGATAAATTTTAGGCGTTACATGAAGCACTGTAGGAACTTTTGTATGATGAGTCAAAGGGATGTGACAAGGAATATTCAATATTACATTTGGTACTTCAACTTCTGATGTTGAAGGCTAGAAACGGTTGGTCTAATGCCAGTTTCAATAGCTCCTTGGGCTGCTACCCAAGCCAGACTTTTTACCTGCCAAGATATATCAGGCGAAGAAACTTATATGTCCCCGTTCACTTTTTACCACTACTGGAGAAAGGCTTATCTCTCCCGGTTCACGACCCCCTTTAGTCCCGGGTTATAAACCGGAAGGGAGAATCTAGAACTAAAGATAGTATGTGGCTCAGCCATCTTTAGTCTCGGGACTAAAGACATTTTTTCTTTTTTATTATTTTGTTGTGTTGCTTGCTGACTGTACTGATATACTATGCATATATATATGTTTAAATACATATATATATATATATATATATATATATATATATATATATATTATGTATATACATTTTACATATATATATGTATAAATACATATAGTACAGACATATATCCACTTAAGTAAATATATACATATATTATATTACCAAAATAATTACACACATAAGTAAATGCATGTATGCATATATATCAATATATACATATATTACAATTCCTTCGGACTTTGTAATTATTGTTTCTGTCATATACTACTTCAAATCAGAAGAAGAATGACCGGCTTGAATAATAGGCTTTCCATCGTAATGGAATTCTCCTGCGGGATCAAGAATCTTCTCATTTATGAATCCCATCAATTGTTCTTGAACAACCCTTGTGAAATCTTTGTGGGTGAGGTTGTCCCTCATGTAAATCACCTATCATTTGAAAAAAATGGGATTAAATATATGAAATCAATAAGCTAATGGAGACATAATTAATGTATGAATAATTTTACATACATCCAGGTCCTGGGCAGTCCTGATTTGGTGTGCTAGGTAGTGGATATACTTACAAACGTAGTAGCCGCACAAGTTAGTCCGTTTATCCTGCTTTGCACAATGAAGGAGAAACTACAAGATTTAATATGCATTTCTAATTTAGAACAAATTAATGATTCAATATAATATTGGAGCATGTACTCACTGGAAAATTGAACCTGTCAGGGGACGATCTTTAGTCCTAGTTGGTAACAATAACTAGGACTAAAGATCACTTAGTCTAGTTGGAGTTATAAACCAGGACTAAAAAACTAATTTAGTCCACGTTCTTTATGGAACCGATTGAGGCTATTGTTCTTTTCGGCCGACCCAACAAAGATCAGTTCTCCAGTAGTAGTGCAAGTTTTTCTTTCACTTGCCTTACAAAGTGAGCGGAGCGGCTAGCCGCCTGCGAATGTGATTTTTTCGTAGTGAATGGAATGGGTGACAGCATAAATAGATAAAATCTATTTGATTGGGATCAGTTCTACTACTACTTGATATGCACACGTGTATGAACAAAACATATGACCAAATTTTGTGGCCCGATCTTCACGGTGGATGAAAATACTTGCAAATCGGTCCGCTGCATAGATGCATATTGGCCGCTTATGAAAATGATTTTTTTTACTTGTTTTTTTTTACTTGAATTCCCCCAGGAACGTTGTACATCCACATTCACTGAGCTATCCGGTAGATCAAAGTACTCTATATTAGCCTTCAAACAAACAACCAACTAATGTTTGTTTTCTTGATGCCCCTCATTCTGAAGAAATTTTCTTAGACTAAATAACATAGCAGTATATAATGAAAGAAAAGTGTTGATTTCTAATTTCTGTTGGAGGATAGCATGGTTGAGCCACCTATTTATGCATGTTTTGGCTAAAGATCGAGTACCTTGTATTATAATTGTGTGCACAAGTATGTTGCTGACTTCATCGTGCAAATTAAATCAATTCTCCTGGCTATTCTTAATGCCACAATCAATTCTCAACAAACAAAATTAATTAAAAAAAGCAATCCTGCAGGGGCATTTTATTAGCATGCAAGAACAGCCCCCATGTAAACGAAGACAGTTACAGTGATCAATGGTTTGTGTAACAGTGAGAATAAATGTGGGAAATATGTGGGCATGAATGAAATGCATATACTCCTATTTGATTTTACAGGACTTTGGTCTTTGGACAAGTAATGGCATAATGAATCTTCAGTTTTCAGCCTTGAGAATACTGGCATTAACACACTGAGACAAAAAAAAAAGCGTGTCTGTTGTAGAAGATAAGAAAGTATCCACACGAAATTACTAAGTAAGAACTTGTTTCTATGAAAATAATTTCATTGCATACATTAAATGAGAAGGAAGTAAACATCCAACTAAGGTAACATTTTTGTACTTCTCTTTGTAACTTTCATGGAGCCAACAACTATTATTTAAGTGCCAATATTTAAATTGCTGCATGCAAATTCACAAAACTTTTATTATACTTTTTACTGCAAACAATTCAATTGAAACAAAGATCAGTGATCACATATGTCGGTTTTATAGTGCTTACTTTAATAAGGTAATTATTTCAATTGCACGACTTGAATTGTTGATACATCGTGGCAGCTAAATACTGACATTTCCATAGTTTGTGGAATAAATTTATACATATTGAAATTGGTTTGAGTTGTTAATCTCTGTTTGTAAAGGGATTTTCAAATTACATCCTTCCCACTTCTGCTTGGCCAAATCAGCATCTTTGCCCCCATCTCCTCCTCTCATTCCTCACAGCACGAAACAGTACTCCTATGCCGCCGTGGCCACATGATGGAGGACAGAGGTACTGGGCCAATGCATCAACCATGGAAATCACTCTGCACATAAACTATATGTCATGCATTACAAGGATACTGCAATAAAAGTGAAAGATAACTTCCAGGAAGGATCAAATTAATGTAGCATAAAAAACTAGGCTTGGCATGTAGTGAACCTGAGAGGAACAATACTAGCTATGAGATTGGCTGCTAGTAGTATAATACTGTGAGACCACGAAAACACAGCACATATGCTACCGCACTAGAGGATGCCTATAATCCTATATGCTGTAGCAGCCAAGATTAAGGAGGATATGAGCCTCCATCTGTCCATAAATCGTCAGGCAGGTTCTATGGCCACCATCCTTTTGCTAATCACTCTGACGAAAACTACTAGGTTAGTCACCAACGTCATTTTGCTGCAGTTGTTCCCTTCTTGATACCACTCATTCTCAAGAAGCACATATATATATGCGTGCATGCAACACCCAACTTGTTTCCCGGACAAAATGTTGCATGAGGTTTCCCAAGCTTCAAGTAATTAGTTTGGAACATGGATTTCCTGATTCTTGTGGGCTTTGAACTACTTCATGTGAAACCCAGTAAAAATTAACATAAATTTCTCTAGTGTTTCTAAATGATCCTTGAGCATTAATGGTTTATAGTGAAACCAATGTATGCAACCGCCTCACATGCATAACCAATTAACACGAAAAATTAACTTTTATGCGAAACAAAGGGCAATACTAGAGCTACATGCATGTGAGAAATTAATTAAAGGGCACAATTCAGATGATGAATAATAAGTAACGCGCATTCCATATACCTCTCTAGAGTTCAATCGTATGTGTGATTTTTACAGTCCTTAACGAGTTACCAGGTGCTCCCACATTTTGATACCTATTATTAACTTAGGTACTTTAATTAAGGTAACTTGAAAAATCGGTATTTGTGGGTACATCCACTATAAAAAAAATTTTTTTGCTAGCGGTCAAAATATATTTTCACAAGCTGCTACTACAACCGCCAACATCCAAAGGCTAGTGAAAATAGAACAATTTTCACTGGCGGTTGCTATCCGCCTGCGAAAATCGATTTTCGCAGGCGGATCCTTAAGAGGACTGCTAACGAAAATATTTTTTTTGCAAAAAAAAAATTAATCGATGTCGAGAGCTGCATTTTTTTTCTGTCCAAATTGAAAATCAATTCAAATCAATATCAGATCCATACTCGAAATCCACATACAGAGAACAATACATCAACTTTTCACCATATTTTCAACAAGCAAACATCAATATATGCAGACAAAATTGCATTCACAACCGCCACCCATGCGTCGAGCCGCCGGCAGTGTCGTCGTCATCGCGGTTGCCCTCGTGCTGCCGACCCCATCGTCAGATCCGCCGACGCCCACCTGCCGTCGCCACCATGGCCACCGCCGCCACCTCCCCTCTGGCTAAATCTGGGAGGGAGAGGGAGGCGAGGAGCCACCTGATCCGTGCTCCCGGCCGGCGCACAACGTCGTCATCGCTATCGCCGCGGTCGCGGTTGCCCTCGTGCCACCGACCCTATCGTCAAATCCTCCATCGCCTGCCTTCCGTCGTCGCCGCCGCCACCCCTTCCCCTCCGGCTAGATCTGGGAGAGGGAGAGGGAGGGGAGGAGCCGCCATATCCGTGCTCCTGGCCGGCAGCGTCGTCGTCGCCGCGGTCGCGGTGGTCATCATCATCGCCGCAGTCGCGGTCGTCGTCACCGACCCTGTCATCAGATCCGCCGCCACCCACCTGCCGTGACCTTCGCCGTCGCCGAGAGCCGAGTGCTCTGCATGTGACTGGGCGGTGAGGCAGAGTCGACGGGAGGGGTAAGGAAGAGGAGGGGAAGCCAACGAGGAGTTGGCGCAGTGGGAGGAGGGTGGTGGACCGATGGATAGATTTTAATAGTGTAGATTTTTTTTTGCTGGCGGCCCATGTTACCTACCGCCAACGAAGATGCTACATCTTCGTTGGCGGTGTGTTAAGTGCACCGTCAGCGAAGATGCTACATCTTCATTGGCGGCCCGCTTTACTTAGCCGCCAGCGAAAATCTATTTTTGCTGGCGGTTCATAGCCTCACACCCCTCGTTACATTTTTGCTAGCGATTTTTGCATATGGCCGCCAGATAAAATGATAGTGTGACGCCATGAAAAATCTTTTTTCTAGTTGTGTTCTCAAAGACCATAAAATTTCTCTGATCATATATATTGTGACCTCAGTGGCACATTGTGATAGCAGAAACCTTTCGATCAAAATGTGCATCGCATCATCCATCAACACATTTCGTGCAGTCCACTAGTACGTTAGCCATCTGTACCAATGAATTTTTACCTACACAAGCCATGCAGATAGTTTTGTGGGTCAACAATAATTTTTACCTACTAAGAATTTTAAGACTGGGAGGCATCGGTAAATTATATATCCATCTCAGTTTTTCTCAGGTAACACCCCTTCATGGATGTAGCATATGTATGCTGCTAACACGTTTGTTACTTGAGCTCTAAAGAACATGGTTTTGATTAATTTCATTGCTTCATAGTTTACTACACTATATTATTCAATGCCATATGGATCGTCTTGACCTGGTGTAAAAATGTCAAAATTATGCCCTGTCTTTTCTTGTTTATATATCTATCTTCCATGCTCGAGCATTTGATCGATTTTCTGCACACACACACACAGGTGGCCGTGCTGCTAACATGAATCTGTGGCATATGGTCAGAGAGAGCACAAGATTATTTCTGCTGCTCCACTTTCGTTGGGTGCTTCTTGCCACTGAATCAAATGGTGCAAACAAAGAAGTGAAGCAAAACACGAAGCATCAGTTCCTGACTGCTCGACAAACTGTAAATTAACCGGGTACAGCAGGAAATAAACGTAGGAGAGCAGATGCTGATGAGCTGACTTCCCTTGATTTCAATATTTGAACAAGGCCTATGTAAAAATAGACTATGTACAATTTGTTCTGACACGTTAATTGTGAATAGTTAGTAGAGCTCCTACAAGTATTTCTTTTAAATAAGATATCTTATTTATAATGTTGTTGCTGTTCATCTCCTAGCAGAAAATAGCTGATTTTCCTGGGGGGAGGAACCCTTAGAGCGAAGCCCTGATTGGGAACAAATTTGTTGGTTTTTCTAGCCAACACGATAATAAGATTATTATAATCTAGATTATTAGGACTAGTGTAAAATAAATAGATAGGTTATTTTGATAGATTAGAAACCAGATTAGTATGATATGATAATCTCCTCCAAATGCTTTTTTTTTAATCAAACTATTGAGTGGCTAAATACCCACTACCCCGGAGACTTGAAAAATTAACCCATATTTACCATCCATCCAAATAAAATAGATGAGGAGATTATAGACTTTAGCCTTTCAAGCCCAGTAATCCATGTCTCCAATAATCCATTGAAATAAACAGCTCACAACTTAATCTACTTTAGCTTATTATATAATTTAGCTTACAATAATCTGACTCAATAATTAATAATTTTAAGCCGAAACAAACAGGGCCATAATGTAGTAGGAAGAAATTCATATTATGTTAAGGTTTGCTCGATTAATCCCACCTACAAGGGAATTGAGGTGATTTGGAGGGGAATACTTCACACTTATTAAGGTGTGAAATTAATCCCCTTCAATCTCTCTCTCTGGGTCTTAACCGAACAAAGACCTTAGTGAGAATACTTTTATGGTACTGTATTGACCCAAAGCTATACTTATGTCCCATGTGGCATATCAAAAAGTCCACATACTTTGGGAGGTGATTTGCCGAAAAACGAAAAACATCTCACCAGCGGCAAATTATATATTGATTATCAGACCTTTTAAAAACAGTTCTTTGATTAGAAGGCACTCTTTTAGTGGGAAATAATCATTTATCCATTTCACTAATGGCCACCTGAAACAACCATAAAACTAGAAATCTGCAAAGCAAAGGAGCTTGATGCACGCATGTGGACTACCATATATAGGCTGCATAACTTCATAACTAGTACTGGGATAAGTTATGCCACATCCCTTGCATTCTCTATGATTTTTAATGGCTTCAAACCAAAAGACCATTAGGAACAACAATACTCGCTAACTGTTCTTGTTTTTGAACCATTATCGACTGGTCACATGACAGCAGAAAATAAGTCCTCGCCCGAAGAAAGAAGGAAGAAATTAAACCGAACAACAATCCAGTTGTGTAGCCATGTATGTGCAGACAGTGTGCAGAGCCTCTTGGGTTCTAAAGGCAGAAGAGTACTACAATTTTATCATCAACTACTCCACAAATGAGTGGTCTCCCTCTCAATTAAGGATGGCTAGACGCCTCCGTATAACATGATGCTCCGTGCTTTGCTGCGGGATATATATTAGATAATTCAGAGATGATGAAATAATTTGGATTGAAATATTATGAGAATGATGAATTAGCATGTGTATGTTTGGTATTAGAATGAAATAAATTGTAGATACAATTACTATATGCTTGCATATTGAGCTTTTGTACTTAATAGGTTGATGTGACATGCTTGCATGTAAGTTTTAAGAGTGCTAATAAATAGTATGCTTGCATGTTGAGTTTAAGGTGTTTAGTGGGCATTAGCTTTATAGAAAGAAGAGATAGAACATGGTTGCATTGAGTTTTTCCATGCTTTGAATATCTAGCATTGGTTCCTAGCGAACTAGATGTATACAAACTCTGATACCTTAAACATTATTGTTACTGTAATATATTGAAATTCTAGAGCAGTCCTAGCTTCTGAGAAAATGAGAAGGCACATGGATCTGATCACTACATACATTGATTCATAGACCTACCTAGAACTTGATCATATATATTGTGACCATGGTAGCACATTATTGTTACATCAACATTCTACCGGGCAGCGCAATAAACAAAATCAATGATGATAAACTAGTGCACACAATCCACCAGAGTTAGCCATCTCAAACTGTGTGAATTTCCCCTGCATAAGCCATATGCAAATACTTTTGTGGCTCATTGAGATGCTGATAAGATATTTAGGCTTGGGAGGCATCACGAATCTAGCTACCGTGGTATGGACGCCTAGCACTAAATTGCAAAAAAGCAGGTAATACTGATACCAATCCTGCATGGACTAGTTTTGTTAAAATGGTGCCGTTACTTCCCATTCTGCTACTTTGTTTTGTTATCTGACTAGGCATGCATGTAAAACTGTTGTAAGAACCGTTGTTGTGTCATTTAACAACCGTATTTTGATCGATTTGCTGCATACAAAGGTGATTGGGCTGCCCATCAGTGCTGTCCCCAGGGATGCTCAAAACTGCGAGGCAACGATGGCTGTTCAAAGTTACCCAAGGAAGCAGGGGCGGAGCTAGGATTTTGAGGCACTGCGCTAGCCTAAGCTAACGCCATGTCTGATCGGGCTCAAATTCTAAGATCAATTTTGTAAGCTACAAATCTTTAGAGCCAAAATTTTTTTGAGCTAAATTAATTGTGGATTGAGGCAATTTCGGTAAGATATCATTATTTTAGATTAAACATAAAGTGTTAAATCACTTCAATTAGTTGTTTAGACTTTATACTCCAATTTTGGCAATAATTTATGAGCAAAAACCATATAAAAATTGGCTAACTACGCATAACTATTTTGGGCACAAAAGCATGTTCCCAGAGTTGTTTTTGAATTAAAAATACCTAATGTGTACTACTTGATTAGAAGAATTAGTAGCCTAATTCCATGTATAAACACACTACATAGCGACAGCTAATTTTTTAAGTGATCAAATATGCTAATGGGCGTGCGGTGGTGGTGGGCTGACCACGCCATAACAAGGAAAGAGTCCATATTACGTCCCTCATATATAGGTCGAGTTTCATTCGCATCCTTTAACTGTAAAACCGGGTATAGAATGTCCCTCAACTTCTAAAACCAGATTAATTTATATCCCTCAACAGTTTGCACAGTGGTTCTGGTCTTACGTGGCGCCTAATTGGCCATGGCCCACATGCAATCCTCTTTCTCATTTTGCTCGCCCAAATGAAATTATTAGGTTAGTCCACACGTCAAAAGTACTCCTTCCGTCCTTAAAAAAACAAATCTAGAATTGGATGTGACGCATTCGAGTACTATAAATCTGGACATACCTATGTCTAAATTCATTGTACTAGAATACGCCATATCCATTATTAGGTTGGTTTTTTATTGGACGGAGGGATATACAAAATGCTAGTTGCCTTGTAACGCATACACTGGAGCGTTTGTCCCCGCCCCCCCCCCCCCCCCCCCCAAAGATGTTGGAAGACGCGATGAGCAATTCTGAGCGTTTAGTCTGAGCTAGCTGCTGCAGTTCAGCGGGCCGCGGTCAACAAGCATTGGCTAATGGGGTCACTGCTCACAATATACGAAGGAACACACTGGTTGGTCAGATATCGTGCATCGGTGTTATCTGATCAAACATTCAAATACACATAAGTTTGAGAATTTCTGACGAAATTGTTCGTGTACTGGGGGGAGGGGTGAGGGTTCAAACTTCCCTTTCGAAGTGAAGTTGCAAACATTGTCGATCCAATGCATCTTTAAATCAGCGGCTGAAATATCTCGAGTAAGTAGAAATTTTGTGGAACAAAAACAGTCCATTCAATCTCATTCGTATATATATTGCCGCAAGAATAAAGCATAACCAATTATGATGAAGATAATAAAAAAAGAAATGGCATGAATGTGTAATATTCTGGCCCATTAGTAAAGATGGAGGTCCTGCGTGTGTTATGGTGTGGCATTGATAAGATCAATAACAAATGAGGAATTATATAGGTGATAAACACAGGTCGTTCTAGGTTAACCATTTACACATAATGATGACCAAAGTGAAGGTGGGTATTAGACTATTAGTCCTCGAAAGTATTGGATATTTGGGAGGAAATAAAGAATATTCAGTATTATAGAGTTGTTGTTTTATACATGTGTCTAAGAAACTTTTTTTCATCCACATAATGCACAATTAACTGTTTCTCAACGTGCACAGTGTGCAGCATTGAAAGGAGAAAAACGTATGCCCGGAAAAATAGTCTACGGCACAGGTATTGTAGCTGCCAATCTAGAATGTTGGTTAGTGAGAGGATAGTGGAGATCAGGACAAATGGCAAGCGCTAGCTGTCACAGCCCTCTGATAAGGCACCATACTACAGCAATGGATCCAATTCCATTGAATGGGTGGATTGTGATGAAGTAATGATTGATTTTATCTGGTGTTTGAATGTTTGATCTTTACATCATTCATGTTTCGTAGAAGTAAAGAATTTTGCATCTTGTACAATTTCTTTGGGAATATGCAAAGAGCGCATCTTGGTATTAAGAGAAATAAAGTTTATGTACAATCCGAGCCAAAAATGAAAAATAGAAGGAGGACGGGATACAAGGGATTAACAGTTAGCTTAAGCCTATTCTCGCAGCAACAGAAAGGGGACGACCTAGAACAAGACCTAAATGGTTAGCACCAGCAACGCCGCGTGTGCCAACCGCCAGAGAGTCGCTTCCGCCGCCATAGCTCGGGCTATCTCTGACCAGGACTTTTGCTGACAGTTGAAGACCCTATTGTTCCTCTCCTTCTAGATTGTCCACGCAGTAAGGGTTGCAATTGTGTCAAATCCCCACCTGCTAGCCCTCCCCACTTTAAGGTGGGAATTACAGAGCCAGAGAAGGATGACCCACCAAAGCTGACGAGACTCCGGACAGGTGACCAAGATGTGATCAATAGTCTCATCATGTTGGTCACAGAGCACACATCTGTCCGGGTGAGGCAAACCCCTGGAACGCAGGCAGTCCGCCGTCCAACAGTGCCTCATTGTGACCAGCTAGGCAAAGAACCTGCATCTCGAGGGGGGGGAGTCTTCCAAATAGGTTTGGAGTGGAACGGAACCCTACCCAGAAAGAGTGCACGGTAAGCCGATCGTGATGAGTAGATTCCCGATGCTTCCTACTTCCAAATGAAAGAGTCGGGGTGGTCAGAGAGCCAC